CTAAGACACTTGCCTGCTAACCAGACGGCTGGAGGTTCAAACCCACCAGCCACTCCTTGGAAGGAAGGTTGGGCAATCCTACTTCCATAGTGATAACTGCCTCGGAAACCCAAGGAGGGGTCGCTATGAGTCGGGGCCGACTCGACGGCACATGACAACAACAACAACATATATGTATCTAGTCACATTCCTGTGGAGCAGTAACCACAAAGACAAGAGCTGCTGAGACAGCCTTCAAGGAGAGGATGTTGTATGTGTCAACTGGAACCTCCCAAACTTCACTGTATCTTTAATGTCTAAGAGTAGTGTGTCCTGAACCTGGGACCTTCAGTGGTCCTAGCGACCATCAGGGAGGATGCAACATGCAGGAACACACCTAGGGCTCACTGCTCCTCCATCAGTGACTCGCTCCTCTACTGCACCCTGATGCCTGGGTCCACTATAAAGGGTCAGGACTTGGTTAAAGGGAATGCAAATCTCCATCAGCCCCGCCCTCTCCTGCCTTGAAAAGCTGAGCCCTCGCCTTGCATCAGTGACTCCTGTGCTCACCATGGACAGGCTTGGTTCCACTCTCCTGCTGCTGACCCTCCCTTCCTGTGAGTGTTCTGGTCAGGGAGTTGATCAGGGATGAAAACTCTCCTGTCATTCTTCTGAATCACCATCACCTTCCTCTTGTGCTTTCTCCACAGGGGTTCTGTCCCAGGTCACCCTGAAGGAGTCCGGCCCTGGGCTGCTGAAACCCACACAGACCCTGTCGCTGACCTGCACCTTCTCCGGGTTCTCACTGAGCACTACTGGTATGAGAGTCAGCTGGATCCGCCAGCCTCCAGGGAAGGCCCTGGAGTGGCTGGCAATCATATACTGGGATGATGATAAGCGTTACAACCCATCTCTGAAGAACCGCCTCACAGTCTCCAAAGACACCTCCAAAAACCAAGTGCTTCTAACACTGACCAACACGGAGCCTGCAGACACAGCCATGTATTACTGTGCAAGAGGAGCACAGAGACACAGCCCAGGGGACCTTCTGTACAAGAACCCGGGCTGACTCTCAGCTGTGCTCCCATCTCTGCAGGAGAAGAGACTGTGGTGGGGAGAGCATTTCCTGCCAGGTTCTTGGGTTTCTGCTCTTCACCCTGTAGTCTCACAGCCCCAACTTCTTTCATTTCTCCAACTGATAAATCTCATCACCCTCTTGGTGGTGAATACAAGTGAAACACTGTTCTGTTTTCCACAAAGTCTTGAAAGGACAGTTTCCATTCCATGTGTTGGATGAAACGCAGGTCACTCAAAGTAAAAACTACAGATAATAGTGTGATATGAATTTATTTAAATGTTTCTTCCAAAAATAGAGGGTTGTAGGTAATAAGAAAGCATAAACCTTATGAAAATATACATATAAACTTGTCCTATAATAAAAAAACAATATGCCAAATGATGTTCAACTAAAATTAGTTAATGAAATGATACAGCAGGTAAAATGTATTATAATCATGATTTCTCTGACAGTGTCCATGTTCTAAATGAATTTACTGGGCTTGCAAGTGAGAATTTTACTTGGAAAATCTTGTATCTGGGAGAAAATTATGTACCTAGGATCACATGTGACATAAGATATGCAAGAACCCTGGCTCTTTGAAAAGAACATACATCGGTTTGGAAACCACATACATGGATTTCTGTTCTTTGCAAATTTCTCTATTATTAACATGGTGATTTATTACCTGCTTCCCTTGCAGACTCTGTCCCTCACCCTCTCTGTGTCTGGATTCTCCATCACAGCCAGTGGTTACTGTTGGCACTGGACCTGCCAGCCCCGAGGAAAAGGGCTGCAGGGTTGTCAAGAACATGCTGTAATGGAAACACGGCCTGTGCCCCATCTCTGAAAAGTCGACTCTCCACCTCCAGAGACACGTCCAAAATCAGTTCTCCCTACATCCCTCCCCTTACCCAGGTCAGTGTGGGGGCCCCAACTAGCCTGGATTTAATCCCTCCCCAGCCCAATAACCTACAAAGTTAGTTCTCTTTCCCAAGCAAACCATTCTTTGTCTTTTTTACAGTAATGGGCAGTACTTGTCTTTCTGCGATTGATTTATTTCACTCAACATAATGGCCTCCAGTTTCATCCATGTTGTGAGATGATTCACGTAACCCTCATTGTTCTTTACTGTAGCATAATATTCCATTGCATGCATATACCATAATTTGGTTATCCATTCATACATTGATGGACATTCAGGTTGTTTCCATCTCTTTGCTTTAGTGAATTGTGCTAATCATGTGGGGGTCAGTGAACAGGAGTGTACTCTAGTAAATGGGGTATACTCTAGCTGAGGCTAATCTTGCACAGATGCAAAATACCAGTGATACAAAATATCTGCAGTCCTTATAGAAACAACAGAAGACAGACATAGATTAATCACTCACCCAGACACTGTGGGAGAGAGATCTAACAGATGTACTCTCTCAGGACCATAGTACTGTGGGACACCAGACTCAATTGACACAACAAAATACATAAAAGCCTTGTTCCTCCTCCTACATTGGTGATTAGTGACTGGGTTCTTAAAAGCTTTGCAGCAGCCATCTAAGATTCACCTAATGGTCTCCAATCTTCAGAAGAGTGGTGAAAAGAAAAGTGGGGGGGGGGTGGCATTTGGATGCAACCAGCCCTAGAACATGATGGCCTTCAAGACCAGAAGAATTAGATGGTGCCAGACTACCAATGCCAACCACCCAGGAAAGGATCATATCTGGAGATCCTGAATAGAGTGGGAGGGAAAATGTGGAACAAAATCCAAAAATTCAATAATGACCAGAATTACTGGTCGGATGGAGTCTGGTGAGACCCCAATACTATGGCCCTGGGATACACTCTGAGCCTGGAATAAAGCTCACTCCCAGGGGCTGGCTGTCAGCCCAATAGTTAGCAAGATGTACATGCAGACCACTCAAGCCACAATGACAGACTCACATACAGTATGGAAATTCATCCCTTGGAACGATAGGCCATGGGGCACCAGAGGGGCAACATTCACAGGGAGGAAATGCAGGACACACAGGAATGCATAACTATGAGGGACACGGGAGGAGGGCTAGGGGGCGAGAGGGAAGGAGACTGGGTTAGGGTGGGGCATGATAAATGGGGGGTGACACTAAATGTACACGTATCGTTGTATGTGAAACAAATTCTAAAAATAAATAAATAAATAAATAACCACAGTTCTCCCTGCAGCTGCGGTCTGTGGTCACTAGGGGCACTGCGGTGTATTACTGTGAGAGAGATACAGTGAGAGGAAGTCTGTGTGAGCCCATGCCAAACCTCCCTGCAGGGAGGGGGCAGGGATGCAGAGAGGGCTTGGAACAAACAGAGGAGACCAATCTCCGGAGCTGGTGCAGGGAGAGCCAGGGAGGGGAGCTGTAAGCACCTGGGACTTCCTTCACCTCCAGTCAGTTTCCCTGGGGACATCCCTTCTCTAATGACTGGATGCTCCTTTATCTGATTCCAAGTTAGATGTCAGGGTCATTCAGAGTGCCCCTTTGTGTTTTTCTATTCCAAGGAGATATAAGATCATTACATCCAAGCTCTCTCCCCTCACTTATCCCATTTGTTTTATGTCTTGGTCTGGCTTTTTCTTGCTGATCTCAACAACACGTGTGATTCTGTCTTGCTCAGTCATCACATTCCCAAAGCCAAAACATAGGGCCATGGTGCTCTATCGAGTGTAACTTCACTTTCTTCATACACATGAAAACCCAGGTTATCAAGTGCCCAGCCCAATGTGCTCTGTATAGACACACGAGGGGAGGCAGTGTGACACAGAGGTAGAGAAGCAGAGGGAGACTGGACTGCATGGGGCCCTCAGCCTACACTGAACACAGGCCGTGCAGCACCGATGGAGGGAATGTGAGGGGCTGTGGAAACTAATCATGTGGATACAGCTAAACGCTATTCCTGGAAATCTGATAGCTGGAGGGACACTTTCAACCCACCTCCCAGGGTTTCAGCAAGAGTTGTCCTGTGTTTCTTTATTTGAACTACGGATCAAACTAAATTCAAAATAAGTGGAATATTCTTTTAGAATTGATATTGTAGTAGGAGGACAGTTAGCAAATAAACATGCCATGATGATAAAAACGTGACAATGATAAAAATACAAATGCAATTGTTCTGAAAGGGAAATGGGTAGATCTGGTTTCTCTGGTCAAGTCAGTTTGGTTGACGGATGCTCGAGAGCCTGTAGTCAGATGGGAGCCATGGGAGCTGGGTTACGAAAGCAGGACGAGCACACACGGAGAACACAATGACACCTAACAACAGCATGAGGACAATGGGACAGGTGGGTGTCCAGGTAAGGCGTATACATCTAGAAAAGATCAAATATCTGCCCTATCAGTGCATTGGAAATACTTTACTCACGCAGAGAAGAGACAGAGTGAGGTCAGCTTCATTAGTGGGCACTGGTCACCCATGGCCAGCAGTCCACACACAGGGTCAGTGCAAGACAAATTGTCCATGTTCGCCTCTTTGTGTTGTAATACTAGAAACCCCATCCCTCCTTACCAGAAACAGACGCAGGAGTGAAGTAGACCAGGTGTCATGACGTGTCTTCTCATATGAAACAGACAGAAATTTACCATGTGCCCAGAGCAGGGGAAGGCCCCTGTGATAAGGAAGAATTGGGAGAGGGAAGGGGATCCAATTTCCAGCCTCCTTATCAGAAAACATTCTTGGCACAAGGCCTTTATTGAGCCAGGCTGCACTGGAGCTGAGAGGCAGATGATTACACCAACAGGTTGGAGATATCCACATGAAACAGAGTTCACAGAACTTCAGGAACACTTCCTGTTCCCTTGTGCTGAGGCAAAATAGTAAACAAGATTTAAAATAAATTATATACTATACACGTGGACATTGCCTAATGGAGTACACAGGAATCAGATTGACTACATCTGTGGCAAGAGGCGATGGAAAAGCTCAATATCTTCAGCCAAAACAAGGCCAGGAGCTGATTGTGGAACAGTCCATCAACTGCTCATTTGCAAGTTCAACTTGAAGTTGAAAACAATTAAAAAAAATCCATGAAGGCCAAAATATGATCTTGAATACATCCCTTCTGGATTTAGAGACCATCTAAAGAATAGATTTGA